CGGACCTATATGCGCGCGAGGAGTTCGCGCCGTATGTGTCGGCGCGCGACGCGTACGACACGGCTACCATATTCCGCCGCGGCGGCAGGTCGAGTGAGGTGCGTAACTTTGGTTGTCCGCGCCCGAATTGGGCTCACAGGCAGATACTCTATCGTACTGTTTGCCCAGTATACCAAACAGTCCGATCAAGAGCCGGTGTGTACTCTTTGCTGTCCTTACCAGCATTGCACTGACAGGCAGACATTCAATTAGATGTCCGCAAACCAAAAGACCCTAGAGGAACAAGATGAAAGTAACATGCGCAAGCATAGGGCAAGCATCAATGCTTGGGCGAAAGCTTGGAATGACCACCGCAACAACCCGGCGAACACCCCGTCTGCGGGGATGCCACCACGGCCTCCTGTGCTTGTGTCCGACAAGTACAAGCCCAAGTCATCGAGGCCGAGGCGCGAAGATCTCTCCACGCGTGCGCTGTTAGTGCGAGCATTGCTCGAAGAGCTCGATTGATTACATCTGAATCCGCGTGGGATGTATAGCGTGGCCGGCGAGGGTAGTAGACGTGTATTTTGTTAGAGCCAATGAACGAAAGATGCGTGTGTCCGTGGGCTCATTAAATATTAGAATGGCATAGCCGCAAAATGGAAACACAGGGCAAATTTGTGGGATCACCAGCGTATTGTTGTGCCTCTGAGGGCAGGTGAGCAACTAAAACCAAGGCAAAATCGAGAGCATCCCCTTCAATGTTTCAGCATAAAGTGTCCGCAAGAATCTGGTGAAGATGAGCCAACCTAGCATTCACAAGAGGCACCCTAGAGGTACTAGCAACCTGTTTGAGGTCGTTCACCGTAGCGGTCACGACCTCAAAATTTGATATGAGGCTTCTATGTTGATCCAAGTGTAAATGCGTAGCTCTTGAGTAGGGACAACATAATGGATGCAGCATGCTAATTTGGACGACGGGATGAAGGAGAGGCGCCCATGCCGAAGTAAGTACGAGCGTCGGGGAACGCCTGGAAGGTTCGGGAGAGCTTTGCAGAGATAAATTCGACCATGTACACATCGCACTACTGATTTCAACCTCCGCACACCCAAATACTTACTTTCTCTGGGCTTCTGGAATTTCCTATCTTCGTCTAATCTGGTGCAATTTCTGAACTCTGACATACAACTAGTATGGCGACAATCCCCCCGAGCATGCCGGTGTCCACGGCTAACTGGCACTGGAAGAACAAGACAGTGACACCATGGGCAAAGACATGGTTCGAACGCGAACTCGTGACCGTCAGCGTGAAGGGCAGTGGGGACGAGGTTGTGAATATCTCCGAGGTCGTCGGCTTTGACGGCGACGTTGAGCTTGGGCAACGTAAATCGAAGTGAGTGACTTCTCCCCTCATCGCCGACGGTCCTCTAAGGTACCTGCTTCCTGCTTTTTTGCAGGCTGATTACAATTTATGACTGCAAAGTCGATCTTGAATGGACGGGCACGGCTTCGGACGGGACAGAGGTCAAAGGCAAGCTCACGATCCCTGAGGTGTCCCATGAAATTACTCTGGACGGTCTTTCTGACTACGCGGTAGGTCGCCGAGTCCGTTGTGCACTACATGAACTAAAATCCGTGGTTTCTCTTAGTACGAATGGAGCCTCACAACTGCATCTTCGCCCGTGGTCAACACGCTCTTCGCGCTCGCCAAGGCCCGCCTTCCCACTGCTCTGGAGACCAAGTTCGCACAGTTCCCCACGGCAATCATCGACACACACGGCAAGGATCTCACCGTTAGCGCAGATCCTAGTCGCCAGGGTTCGCCCGCCCCTGCAGCCTCCGCTTCGACGAAATCAGTGCCGGCTCCCAATTTTACGCCTGCCACGAAGCCCGCTCCAAAAAAACCTGCGGCATTGGTGAATACGACGACGCTCACGGTTGATGCAAACTTCATGGCCTCCGCGGCCGATCTGTTCGACTTGTTGACGAACGAGCAGCGGATACCTGCGTGGACGCGTGCGCCTGCCAAGGTAGGCTCACTAAAACTTTACTTGAACCACAAAGGTTTTGACATGGGAGTCCAGTCTGCAGCGAAGCCTGACACGGAGTACAGTCTCTTCGGTGGAGGAGTGAGAGGCAATTACGTCTCGCTCACGCCAGCGAAGGAGATTGTGCAGACCTGGGGGCTGCAGAGCCCGACTTGGCCCTCCGGTGTGTATCAGATAGTTCACGATGATGTGCTTGTGTTCTGAGTGGTATGCTGGGGTAGACCATGTCGCCACGTTGACAACCACGCTAGATCAGGGATCGGATTCGACCAAGGTTACGTGGAAGTTGGCGGGTGTTCCTCTTGGGATGGAGGAAGAGACAACACGGAATCTGCAGGGATACTAGTACGTCTTGTGATTCCCGCTCAGCGATCCCTAGACTGACTGTGTGGCAGTGTGCACGGCTTAAAATCAATTGGGTACGTACAGCTTTTCGAGTATAGATCACCCCCACCCCCATCGCCTTCCCCTGTTCGTACAAAGTGCGACTCGGCATCCGCTGGGGCGAGGAAAAGCGCAGCAACAGAGTATGCGGCTATTGCGCTTGCCATTATGGCTGTAGTCGCAGCGTTCTCGATGCGCTACTTGTATACCTAACTGTTGATGTGTCCACTGTGTAATTGACTTTTTCATGTTGGATCCCTCCAGGTTGGGCACCGAACTCTAGATCCCGCGTGTGCCACCGGTGACCGCTGCTGCTTGGGGCTCTGCCATGCGTTCGGCGGACTGGAGAACGATGGCGGGCATTCGCGGGCTCATGAGCGAATGTCTGTAGAGAATTGGGTAGATGCAATAGAATGACATGTATTTGTTTCTTATAAGGGATTCAGCTGCGCATGAATGTAGCCTGACTCCCGAGTGTAGTATCCTCGACGCCGAACCCACGACTCAAATGATATGAGCTGGACAGGTCGGAGAGACGCTGCCTTGATACATGTGCTTGTGATTTTCTGAGAATATTTGAAACAGCCGGTGCCCGTTCGCGTTGAGCATGCAAAGGTGACATCGCATAGCAACGGCGTCTCTGGATGTCAAGCGGTGATTGGCCAACGCGTTCGACTAAACAGGCAATTCGCCTAAAGCAACCCAGTGTTCCCAGTCCAACTCCTCCTTTCTTCACCGTCGACCTCGTCGCCGTCCCCGGCGTTGTTATCCCTTTCTCGCGCGTCCAGCTCGCGCTACTTGTCGCCGGCCTATTCTATGTGCAAATCGTGGGTATTCCAGGTATCTGTCTTGCGTGCTGTGTAATGATTGACGGTTCCTACGTGCTGCTGTCGTTGCATGTCCAACAGTTGTTCTCCTCTACTCTCATGAATGAGTGATGAACGTACCCGACCCACCATGGAAGCAGAAGAGTATGTGCTTTGTATCCTCGCCTCTGCATGCAGCGCCCCTCATTATTTGCCGTAGCGCGTCCGTGTCCATTCTACTCACAGGGACGCTGTCTCTTCGCAGACTCGTGCAACTTTCTTCACACTGCGAAAGTACAGCGCCCCGACGAGATGCTAGTCGCAGAACCACGATCTGCCTTGCCATCTCCGCCCGAGTCCCCCACTCCAGGAGCAATATCTAAGATCGTGCGGTTCCGCTCGCCGCCTCGGTCACCTCGAATGTCAAGCCTTCTACTCGCACTCGGAGACATCATAGAGCAGGACGACGATGAAGATGACTCTTCTGAAGACTCTATTACTCACGAGTGGCCTGCACCGATGGTCAGTCTTATCACCGTTAGCTCTCCGGAGACACAAGAATCTGGACTAGACATGGGTACCATCCCTCAGGAGACTGTCAATCTGATGCCGCTACAGGACGAGGACGCTGATTCAGTCACGATATTCAATACACCTCTCATGCTCACGTCTTATGTGCCAGTTGTAGCGGCGGAGGAGTCCTACGCAACTCAGCAAGTTTCTGTGGTGCCTGTTTCCGAACCTGGTGACGTTGAGAGCGATGAGGATGTAACGATTACTCAATACCGAGACTCGCGAACTCTGCTGCCTTTACCAGCTGGACTGATGTCTCCCGCTCGAGCGGTGCCCGACGTCTCTGTCTCGCCTGTGGCCAACTTTGAGCACGCATACCCTGCTACACCTATAGTGGGCTCGACCAACTCAGATGATACGGTGATTATTACTGATTATCGACACTCACGGGCATCGTTACCCCTGCCAATCGGGTTGTTGTCCCCCATTTGTAGCACATCTCATATGCCCATTTCATTGCCGGCTCATTCGGAGAGCCCCATGGCAGACGTACATAGGGAAGACTCAATTGACTCGGGCTATGCAGATGGATGCTTCATGCCATCTACCTTCTTGACCTCGCCTCCACGGAGCCCACGCAGGATATCAACACTATCGATCTTGTCGTCGCCATTTGGGTCCCCAACTTCTCGGATACGGTCTTACGATGAGCAACATCCGCCTGTCATGAAAAATTTGTTCTCGCCTACATTCACCAGTATGAATCAGCTGCACGATGCTGACGTGAATGTCGCAAGATACTCTGACGTTGATGACGACCCCGCTCTGGAAGATGCTGAGATTGGACAGGCCGTTTCTGTGGATTTCGCAACAGGCGAGGAGGGTCAACCCTTGTCATCCGGCGCCGACGAGTATTTTGCCGAGATTTACGATGTCGAACACGTTGCGCTAATAGACAATACGAATGAACATGTTCAGGCCCATACACACAAACAGTCGCCCCGTCCCTCTTTGGCACTATCATCAGCAAGTACAGGAGGTCATGAACAGGGGTCCTCGTGCGGTACATCTCGCGTGCAAGCTGAAGGAGACACCTCCCTGAGCACAGCTAGCAGCGGCCCTGCGAGTAGCAGAGATGATACCATGCAGTCTCTATATGACAGGTATCTGATATCTCCCGAAGAGAAGCCCCTCCCTTCCCCTCATGAAAGCCGACGCATCTCTCGCGGAACGGTTTTTTCTCCTCGCATCGATATCAGCAACGGTAAGTCCGAGACGGCCACGTCTCCAGTCTTGCTATCGCCTTTCGAAGAGTTGCCGACGCGCGTATTTTCCGTGGCGGAGAAGGGAAAGTCATCCCCGCGTGGACATGACTCCGAGAGCGGGACGAGAGATTCGCACTGGGACCGGAGGGCATCAACAAAGGTCCCCTTTGCATGGCGGCAGTCCTTAAAGACAGATCGCCCGATATCGCTGAAGCCAACATCAAGCATCGTCCGTCCTCGTCCTCCAGCTCTTATTGGGTTTAGCCCGAAAATCCATGACAGAACGCGTTTACTGTCTCCTGAAGAGCCTTCCACAGCAAGTTCAGGTCTGAAACCCTTGCGTCTCTCCGTCGTCCTTTCCTCCGCATCCACTCCAGCATCGTCATCATTTCCATCTTCCGCACCAGCATCTAGCATTCCTCCATCTCTGACTACCGGCACGACTGCATTCACACCGTCCACATCATCATCGCCCACTGTATCATCAGACTATTCCCTCTCGCATAATCGATTGCTTTCGTCGCGTCCGTCCAGTTCCGCTCTAGCTCGCACTCACGGTCAAAATACCCTAATTATCGACCCGACCTCACGCACTCCTTCCGTTCCTCTCGATTTGGATCCTGACCGCAGTCCGGGCGCTGCACCCCATTCTGCTCCCGTCTCCTCGCATGGCACATCGACTCCATGGCACAGCCGCCAGAGCTCCCGGCTTTCACTCCTTTCGTCTCATAGATGTTCGAACATCGAACCATACCCGCGCTCTGACAGTCGACTCTCGGAGCCCGCCATTCTGTACGAGGTAGACGAGGACGCTGAGTCGGAATCCATGCACGGCTCTGCCGACTGGGCAGACGAGACTATCCGCCGGCCTGCATCGTCCCTCGCCCCGGACGCCCTGTATCCCCCATCGCCGCCGCACGCGATCGCGACCCCCAAGCCGACTCTGATGTTCGCGCTGGCAAGCGACAATGTCGACGAGGTGCGGCGTGTTCTCGAGAGCGGCGAGGCGGGCCCGAATGACGACGTCGGGCCGCAGTCTGCCCTCGCGTTCACGCTGTCCGCAAAGCAACTCACCAACCGCGTGGCGATGGCAAAGCTCCTTCTCGCACATGGGGCTGATCCGTCCATGGCTCGCGACGTGCCCCCCGCTCAGCCGCAGATGCTTAGCGCGGACTCGGCGTCGGTGTCGACCGCCGGAGGGGCGGATGCGAGGGCGAGGCTTTTGGAGGAGCTCGACCCTGCGACGAGGTTAGTCGATCGCTGATGCGGAAAGCCGGGCCATTTGACTGATGTTGTGTGGGATAGGTACTATGTAAAGCGCGCCGATGCGCCGCAGACTCGTCGGGCGTCTGCACTCATCCATCGCTCGTTTTTCCGCCCGCTGGCAAGAGTTCGATACGATCTCGTTGGCCAGGACAGAGCACTCGAGCAGCTGTTCCGCGTGCTCAGTATGCCGTCGATGGCGCCCGTTGTGGTACTTCTCTGCGGTATGTGAATTCTTTGGGTACCGCACTTCGTGGACTCATCTTGCCTGCAGGGCCTAGTGGACATGGGAAGAGCTTGTTGGCTCGTAAATGTACGTTTATTATGATCCTCGTGTGGCATAGGCGCATCGACTAATTTTTTGCACTCAGTTGGTTCGCTTTTGGATGTTCCTACACATACTGTAAATATGACAACTCTACGATCTACCCATGATATATGGCGCAGCTACTCGATGAGTCCCTATGAGGTACGTCGTCGGATTTGATATGCTACGAGGTGTTAACTTCGATCGGCGGTGCGTAGGAATCATCAACATGTACACTCTCGGAATTCCTTATTGCTAATGAGGGCAAGCGCTGTGTTGTTGTCCTTGATGTACGTATCTGGAGCGATCAGCTGGCGGGGAGTTGCAATCACTAACGACCAACCTCCAGGAAATTGAAAAGGTCGAAGACCAAAAGTTCTTGTCTTCACTATTGATGCCTTGGGAACTTGGTGCGGACTAAATCACATCGCATGTGATCACCATACTCAACGTGACTGTAGGTCGCTGTTCCATGGAGGCAGGTCAGCGCCACGTCGACGTCTCGCAGGTCATTTGGCTCGGGACGTCCAACGTCGGCCACGAGCTCGTCTTCGAGCACAACAAGAGTCGTCCGGATCCCGACTCACCCATGTCGCGCGAGGAGTACGTCGACCTCATGGGGTTGCTCCGGCCACGCGTCTCTGAGCGACTAGGGGTAAGCGGTGCTTCGGTTGACGTCCACAACACTCTGACCGTTGGCTTCTCCCAGGCATCGCTACTATCCCGAGTCACAACCGTGCTCCCGTTCGTACCGTTTACGCCGGAGGAGAAGATGGCCATCTCTGCTGAGGCGCTCTACGCACTCGCGGGCGAGGGCGCGGGGACACTGCCGCCCGCGACGGTGGACATGCTTGTGCGCAAGTCGCTCGGGCTGTATCACCCCGCGGAAGGGGCGCGCTCGCTCTACCGTGCTGTGTCGACTTTGCTACTTGATACAATCTGATATTTGGATACCATGCACTACGTCTTGTCGCTGCGTGAGTGCAGATGGTGTGAGCGGGGCACTTTGTCAGATTAGCCTGCACGGAATAATGCAATGTCGCTGGCTCCGCGAAATTTGCATGAGATGGAGTTCTCTTACAGCTTGTCTTGCTGGACGTTGGGGAGCACCTTGAGCCGATGACTAGCAACTGCAAACCAAAATACCCCATGGGTTTTCATTACGGGCAGCTTCGAGTTTGTTGACCCCTACCGATCCCTGGTGTTGGCAATCAGGGCGGCGAGCGAGCGGTGGTATGTGATGGCATACAGGTCGTAGTGATGTTGGGGCCCTGGTACACACAGCCATAGCGACGACAACAACGGCTGGAATGGGCGCCGACACAGGATGGTCAGGGTGGGGCTCCGCGGCGATCGATAGCGAAGATATTCTCAGCGTGTCACTTGATTTTCCTATACGTACCCTCAAGGCTTCACTGAAAATAACAGTGCAGGTACCTGGCATCGTTGCCACAAAAGTGATTGGGATTCTCCAGGTGTTCACTGTACGCATGCCCCGTTTGACCGTCTCGATTATCATACATATGTGATGGGTCAGGAATTACCCAGCTCATTGCTGCTTATCCTCTCCGCTAGCATTGCTCTTCTTTCGGATAACAACGTATGCATCACTGTCTTCCGGAGCAGGCTGGGCTTCGATGTTTCCTCCAACCAAACCTTCACCCTCGGGCCGTATCTGCGCGCGCTCAGCGCGAATCTACGCCCAAGAATTACAGGTCAGTACGTCCGATCAAAGGTCAGACTAGACAGACCGCATATGTGAGCAATAGAATCACGCACCATATTCAAATCATGGCTAATTAGTCCATGACCGCCAACCGGGCCCCAATAACTGGTCGCTGCAAGAGAACTAATGATGCAAGTCCCGACGAGGACGGTGAGGTAAAAGCGATATTGCGAGTACCATCGAGGGGCTAAGGACAGGAGGCTAATCAGCTCGTGCTATACAGTCAAACGTAGACACACGTACCCCATCCTGCGCTAGTGGCCTGCAAATCTGCCCACCACAGACCAGTAAAACCGATCCACTGGGTGATGAGCGCAGGCACCGGCTGGAGCGTCAATGTCGACCAGCCCAATACGATGGGTGCTGCGCCAAGCATCAAGCGGGCATATCTATAAATAGTGTCGTAAGCTTGGACCCGTCGTAACTTGTCGAAAGAATACACACCCTTTGTGACCCCCATAGCCCGCAAACTCGAAGCCCCAGTGGAGCGCACCGAGGAAAGAGAGCATGACGGCACCATAAGTCATCTGAATGTTGAGCGCCTGGTCGAGCACCGTGATCGCGACGCCGGGATCGATGCTGGACACTAAACCTAGTAAATGTGCAGGTAAGCTGCGTCGATCTCAACAGCAAGGGTGGAACGGCTTACCTGTCGCTGCAATGCCAGCCTGGCGGGCGAGGTAGATAGTCGCGCCCGTTGCGCCGACATACGGGAGCCCGCCCGCAAGACCAAATACGAGATATGGCGTGGGCACACCGGAGGCAACTGCATTCGTGATTCCAAGCTACAAACAGAAGGAGTCAGCCAGTCCCGTCTATTTCCGTGCGCTGAGGCAAGGCACGTACGAAGGTTTGATTCGCGGGTGCGACTGCGTCTCGGAAGACGTTCCCGCCAGCGATAGCCTTTGCCAGATCAGCAGTAGAATTGCCCACTTCCTCCTTGATGTTCTGTGCCGCCTGACCCGCCGTCTGCGAGCCCGGGCGCCCCGAGACACTGCTCGCCACCCCGCGTGCAAGTAGCTGACCTCGGAAGGTAGTAGGTAAGCAGTGGACGAGTGGGCGCGGAAAGATGCATTGATGTTGAATATGTGACTTGAGCTGCGAGGTGATTGAATGCGCTTTACTCGTCGAATGCGGCTGCCTGATCAACAGAGGGGGGCGGAATAGAATCTGCTGTGCTCTGAATGTCTGCATGGTCGTAGGAGAGAAGAGGGGAGGATTAGTGAGTAAGGACACCAGTGAGGTTTATATGTGCTCTGCGACGCGTCTGTTGGCTCTGTCGCCGCCACTTGCAAATGGTCAGTGACGTCATTTCCTCGCTTAACATTTACGCGCGCTTTAGTCCCCTAACAGACCACTTATCCTTCTAAGCTGTCAATAATAACTCACTGCGTCGTATCTCGGGTCGTAACTAGAAAATTAATGCATTGGATGCAATAACGACGAGGCCTAACACGCCGTATAGAATCTATCTTGCGTCCCCGTCCTCTGGCAGATACGCTTTTCGCTTATACTTTGCCTGGTCTCTTAGCCACTATCAAACGCACGCCATCAGAAATAACCATGTCTGGCACACAAGAACGACGTACCTGGCGATAGCCATGCAACGAGCCAATTTTCTCGCCTAGAGCGGATAGCGTTGGTATGTTCTAACCGATATAGAAACTTCCGAAGTACACACCATAAAAATCAGGGACGGGATTCGTCGCGCTTTGCGCAGTGGGGTCGACACGGTTCTTGACAATGTGCTTGTGGAATTCACGGTCGCGCGCTTCAATGAGCTTCATCGATCGCCTATGCGTCATGCGCCATATTGAAGAGCCGGCAATTGGCCCAAAGAGGTATCCCAATGCTGCAGATGGTGAAAATGCGGTCTGAGTCGTGTAAGAGATAGGCGTACCAGCACAACCCAGAGTACCGAAGCCATAGACAACCATGGGGTCAAGATTCTGAGAGTGCAGTCGGAGACAGATAAAAATGATATTTTGACGCGACAAAGGATAGACATACGAATATGGGCTTGTTCGGATCCACCTCCTGATTCCCAAAGTATGCAACGCCTCCCGCGAACCCAGCGATGGTGAGCGGGATTGTCATGGCCTAGGATGCGACCAGCGACCAACGAGTGATATATCAGGAGACACATCGTGATGCATGAGCACGAAGTTCCAGATGGTCAGAGAATTACAGTATATGTACACTTGTGAGGACATGCGTTCAAACAACAGCAACAGACGCACCGTCTCCCATCTCCGCTTCTGCTTTCGAATAGCGAGATAGTCCGCCCAGGGCAGGGTCTCCTGCTCGAGCGAGCTCACGGTGCGCGGTCCATGAGCTGCCTGTCCACTAGGCGTCGGTGCCTGCGCAGCTGCATCCTTCGAGGACCTCCCCGCCCTTGTCGACTTGCCACGAGCAGGAGACCGCAGGAGCTGGACTTTGGACCGCACAGGACCTCTACCACCAGAAACGCATTGCAGTTGTATTGGCCGCGAGACCAGTGGCCGTAAGGTGCGGGACGCGGTGGTGCAGGACATGACACTGCTCTGGGGGTGAATGTCGTGTGTCGGCGGCGTACTAATGGCCAGCGTGCACTAGGCTGGTCTGGCTTCCGCACTGACCCAATTTGGATGAAGCGCGTCCGATAGAGGAAGGTAGGCTCGTACCCAGCCTCTCTGACTTTTCAACTCCGCTGCGAAAGCAGCTGTTAGAAAGCATTCATCGTTTTTGATCTCCGCTTTTCTGTGTCAGATAACTTCGACGAAAACGGATGAGTGCATTCTAAGTCCGACTAGCATGCGAGTTTAAGAGTCCATCTCGTGGCGAGAACTGGGACAGTGTCTACGACTTCCCGAAAAGGCGATGCACGTCTAATTCTCTCCGAGACGCAGCGCATTTCGGCGTCAGATTTCGCGGGTCATATATATTGACAATGCACACGGCCAGCGAAGAGAGCAGCGCCAGCTCACCCTCTGCCCCCGCCCCGGCAGGCAAGCCATCCCAGCTCGTTCCCCGACCCCGCGCCCACTGACCCTCGCAGAACTGGCCATACACCATGCCCGCCGCCCTCCCGCCCGAGCTCTACGATGAGGCCATCGACCACCTCTGGGACGACTCCGCTGCGCTCATGGCGTGCTGCCTCACCTGCCGCGCCTGGGTCCCCACCAGCCGCCTTCACCTCTTCCGCACCGTGCGCCTCCAGAGTGCCGCCCACTGCGCACGTTTCGCCGACGTTCTCGACGCTGCCCCGGCCGTCGCGCGCTACGTCCGCCGGCTTACCGTGTGCCCCGCGTACGCCGGCATCGACGCTGCCGGGCACGCGCAGGAGGACGACGGCTGGGTCGACACCATCGCCCGTTTTGTCCCCCGTCTCGAACGCGTCGCGACGCTCGGGCTCGCGCGCATCCGCTGGGCCGCCCTCCGCCCTGCGACGCACGATGCGTTCCGGACGCTCTTCAGATCCGTCCGCGCGCTCTTCCTCTTTGAGGTGCGCTTTGATGCCTCGCGGGATGTGCTCGCCCTCCTCGGCGCATTCCCGCTGCTCGACGAGCTATACTTCCACGGAGTGTCGTGGGAACGCGAGTCCCCTGCCCCGCTGCAGCTGCTCCAGGACGACGGCGAGTGCGCAGGAAGGGCAGAGAAGGAGAAGGAACAGGAGCGCATGCAGCTGTCGTACCTG